CGGATGTTACGCGTTCTCAATTATTGTGCTGGTAAAACACCTGGGTGCCTGAAACCGTGTTAGGTTTCTTCGAACACTTATTTATGTGAATGCCTGCTAACGGTATCACCCTTACACCGTAGGCGTAGGCGCGATACCGCCAACAACGATATCACAGGCCCTCCATCTTTTGGGCCAGATTTTGTTGACTTTGTATGCCATCTTATGTTTCCCCGTCACCAATCCTGACCCAGGAGTTGGTGAGTGAGAGGCCGGATGTGGCGGAGTATACCCACTTCTTTTTCGTTTACTGAGCCCTTAATTTTCAATCTACTTACAAGCTCAAATGGCAGTACTCGGCGCCGATTGGCCACGGAAAAGCGAACTGGCATTAGGGCCGAAATGTCCTGTATTTTACAAAACCAAAATTTGAAGGCTCATTTTTTTTACTACACTAACAGTTGCAATAAACATTTCAAAACCCACCTAAACCAGTATAACATTCTTTGAAACACTTCAATGCATATTCAAGAAGTGATCAAATTAAAATATATGAGTTGATCCTTTCAGCTAAGTTAATATAATTTACTAGCAGCTTGCGTAATTAGTAAAGTTAATTCCATTTCCAATTACAAATAATTAACAGCCGAACGCATAGTTTCGCGCGGTTTAGTTTTCGTTAATAATAAAGCACATACACAAATCGATAACTCTTAACTTTAATTTATTATTAGTCCGTCCCTGACCAACTCCCCATCTGTTGCATTTATTCATATCAGACTACACACAGATTTATATAGCATTATAACTACTTGCAAATTAATATACCGTGTGTGCCAAGGTTGAACGCAAGGATCCACGAACCCTTTGATATGTATTTGAAGTTAGCGTTGAATTGAATGAATTGAATTGAATTCGGTTAACCAATAGCATTGAATAAGTAATACTTATTCAATGCCAATAGTAAAGGAAAGGTATTACCTCAAGTACAGTGCAAATTAAAGTTCACTAACAGTGCTAACAATATTGCACTACTGTAACCTTACAATTGAGTGTTCTTGACTGGCACATTTTTAATATCGTTACAATCACTCTAAATTGCATATTTCTACTCAGCATCTCCTTGACTGGTTCCCGAGTCCCGAGCGCTTTCTTTACAAGTTAAATATCCATTTCGGTTTCTATTTATTACTTCCTGGAAACTATACCAAACGTGAATAAACCCAAGCATTTCTGTTAACACAATCAGTCAGGTATTTTGTGTATATGACAAGTTATGGAAATTAATAGCTTCGACACTGTGTCAAACAGATATCGTTGGTTTATGAGGTGACCCATATTTAGTAAAAATCTTACAACGCTCGTTTAGGAATATTAATTTAGATAAATCGCTGCATTATGTTACAATTTACATTGCGTTTTTACACCGATTTTAATTTGTTAAGGACAGATTACTTCAGTACCTCCATTTTCGAGATATTCACATTGCCTGCGTAGATATGTCTCGTCTGGATGTTCCAACCGCCCTTTGAAAGTACCCTCCTCCAACACTCCGTTCCGCAGATATTTGCATTGTAAGTTTTGACCATTGTAAGTTTTGACGTCACCAGTAAATGTGTCTCGTCCCGACGTTCCATTTTGCTTTTGTGAGTACTCTTCTCCGACATACCGTTTTCGAGACATTCGCTCTTAAAGTTATGACCTCACCAATGTACCAATATATTTCGTCTAGAAGTTCCAATCGCCCTCCTCGAACACTCTTGAGATATGAGGAAATATAACCGATCATGGTAAGGGGCCGAAGAGAAGGACTGTGGTTGGTAAGTTTCATTGAGACCTGTCATTAGTTAGCACCCCCATTTTAAAATACACATGATTATCTCACTACACTCCCTCTCCCCCCTTATAAAATTTCGTAATTTTTTGAACCTCCTCTCCCCCTCTTCGAGCGTCACGTGATTGCTCAAACACCTGTTAGATTATGATTTCTCGGAAATGAAACATCGGGTAAGAAATGGTTTTATAAAGCTCTATTACTTTTTTTTTTAGTATATCTTTTTTAAAAAATACAAAAATTGGAAAAATGCAAAAAATTGAATTTTTTGGAAAATTTCGAAAATCGATAAACAATCATGAATATTTGCGATTAGCATGTAAACATACTCTAAATAGTGCAACTTTTTCCTTATTTAAACCACTCTATCTTTTACGATTTTCAAGATCACATGGTGTATTTTGAGAACTGTAATTTTTGTTGTACTTATACATTTTGTTTTTTGACTTTGTCCACATGCCACCCTTTAAATGCACATAGACATATAGTCCTTACTCGTTTTGAAAATTATATATTATTTTGCATAACAATTCGTTTATTGTGAGGTCTGTAATTTTTTGGGACTTGAAATATTTTCTTTTCATTATCTAATTTTGTCGACAACCAGCTTTTAACGGATCCCTTATCCAAAAATTACATTAAGTAAAAAAAAACTTATACATAATAGGTAATTCATCTATTGCGAGGGTGGTAATCTTTGTGGTACAGTAAATATCTTTGTTTCCTTGTTCAATTTTATTTACGGCGTCTAATCATAATTTGTATGTAGCATATTCAGTTGGATAGATTTATACAGGGTGTAGCACCTAAGATCCCTCGGATCATAATTCCTTTACCATAAAAGATACCGAAAAAGTCTTAAAGCAAAATTGTACACAATTACCGCCGCCATCCTTCTAAAATATTTCACCAGGGGCGTGCTGTATTCCAGTGGGGTATCACATTATATTACTGAATTGAAGGGTACTTGAAAAGTACTTATTTTTTTATGTAACATGATATACCTCTAACTTTAACGATTTCGCTGTTAGAACCTTTTTCCATCAAATTTTGACAGTTCTTTGAAATTTTTTTTGAGAGAAACTAAATCGCACAGGCGGCTAATTTTTGGATTGATGCACATGTTAAGACCTCTTCCAGAATAACATAATTTTTTTAGGTACCTACCTACTTTATCAATATAAATAAACCTTTTGATTGACTTTCGCTAAATGTCATATTTTTTAAAAATTTCAAATGGCACCCCCATAAACAAATTATACCTATGGGTAGCCAATACTCCGATGTTCCACCGATATAAAGAAAACCACACATTCCATAAGAAAATTTCGCAGAAAATCCAAGTTGAAACCCCAATTTGTAAAAAAAACGTTCTTTTCCGAACCCAAAAGTGTGTCATGGTAAAACAAAAGATGGTCAATTCTCACAAAAGCTGGCTGTCAAGAAAATCAGATAAGGAAACGAAAATATTTCAAGTAACAAAAAATTGTGAACATCTTTTGTTTCATCATGGCACACTTGGGTTAAGAAAAGAAGGCTTTTTTTCACAAATTGGCGTTTCGACTTGGTTTTTCTCCGAAATTTTCTTATGGAATGTGTGGTTTTGTTTGTATCAGTGGAAAAGTTGTACTGCTGGCTACCCAGAGGTATAATTTGTTTAGGAGGGTGCCATTTGAATTTAGCGAAGGTCAATCAAAAATTTTATTTTTTCGATAAAGTGCCTTAAAAAAAATTATGTCATTGTGGAAGAGATCTCAACCTGTGCCTCAGTCCAAAAATTAGTCGCCTGCCTCTCAAAAAAATTTTGAAGAACTCAAATTTTCACGAAAAAAGGTTTACAGCGAAATCATTAAAGTTAGGGCTATTAACATAAAAAAAATAAGTGCTTTTTAAGTACTCTCCAAATCAGTAATATAATATGGGATGTTCCATTTAAAAAAATGCAAGTTTGATATGCCACTGGAAATACTGGAATACAGCACGCTCCTGGTGATATTTTAGAAACACGCCGGCGGTAATTGTGTACAACATCCTGTTCACCCGCAATTCGCATTTGGTAGATTTCGCCAATAACCCTTCACAAAATAGTACTCAATTTTTGAGGCACTTCTCATAGCTCTAGCTTCTATTGGCGAACGAGATAGAGAGACCGCGATTCGAGCTTTGCTTTAAGAAACTTTAAACCGCGTGACAAAACTCGCAGCGGAAGAATCCTTTTGGGCGCCCGAAGATGACCACCCTTTGCAAAAGGTGGTTAATTTTGTCCAAAGGAAAAAAAAACAAAACTCCGCCACGCAGGAGTTGTCTGCGTTTACTAGATCTTTCCGACGACACCAATTTAAAAACAATCGGACCAAAACGGTCGAAGAAGATAGGAAAAAACGGAAAAATCTCCAGGTTAGTACACCACGGTTGAGGATGGCTCTCAGATGTCGCCGACCCCACATAATGTAGCCCCGTCCCTAAAGTTGTTAATTACACGACCCCGGTAGGTACATGTATACTCCTCGTCTTTCTACAAGCGTTCTTCTACTGGCCCGCATTTGCCGGCAGCCAGCCAGCCAACCAGCCGGCCAAAGTGAGACTAAAAGCTACCTTTTTACAAATAAATTTGCAAAAATCTGCAAGAAAGGAGTTGCAACACATAGTTCGCTCTTACAAAAAATTATACCTAAACTATATCTAAAAGCTCTCATGCAGTGCTTAATTAAAAGTAGATAATTGAAACTGATGTACAAAAAAAAATCTTAATTATATATACCCAACGTCTTGTTCGCCTTAAAAGGTTAAGGATTTAATTATAGTACATAAGTAATAATATTGCTATACTTTATCTGCTTAATTAATTCAAGGTGTTGCACTAATTTGGAGCACATGAGCCTTATTTATTGAATGGGCAGAATCATTTTTGTCTTGCATTTTAGATTGATGGTCATTGGTCAATGTTCTAGGAGAATCTTATTGTTGTTGTTATTGTTATTATTTTGGCAAATCGGTAATTAACAGTGTTATTCCCATATTAAGAAACACATTATTTTTTTATAAACTAGTACATGGCATAATCGACATAATGTGAGAAAAAATTGCAAAACTAAACCGATAATGCATTTAACCTAAAAGCCAATAATTACTTATGGGCATAATTAGTTTTCTAATTTGCTTTAAAGAAGTTCGTTTTGGGACTCACCTCAAACTTGGGCACGATTTATGAACGAAGTTAATCCAGGGGCGAGAACGCCTGAAAATTTCACACACACTACTGACATTCGTTCATTACAGACGCCCCTTCTTATAGACATTTATCCGCTAAGGTAGAAAGTATTTAATGCGCAATTAGGTATGTACTATGCAGGAGCAGGGAATAAGAAATATGAGGCACATTTGATTTGATTACTCTGACCAATACATTTTAAACAAATTAGATTGCGCAATGTTTGTTCTTGCAAATTCCGACTTATTTGCAGACTTGCATCATAGCTTTTACGTTAGCAATGTACCTACTTCTGTACTATGTGTTTATATGCAAAGAAGAAATTGGTACACACAATGCCGTTCTGAAATTTGCATAAATGTGAAAATTTCTCAAAATTAATCTCACGCAGTGCGATGGGAACGAAATTACTCAATTTAAGTAATCTAATTAAGGGGAACTTTTTTTCTGGTGGTTTGCTGATTTATTCTAATTTCTTTTATTTAATTGGGAAAAGTTTGTGGTTGTCCACTCATCGAACCGTTTATGAATTGTCGAAATATGTCTTGAGCTGTATCATACTTCCGTTTTTCACCAAGTTCTGTCCTTTCACACACATCAGTCAAGCCTCACTGCGACTTTTATTTGAAAAAGTGTCTTCATGTGAAGATCAAACAATCTGTCACTGTAAATAAATGCGCGAATTAATCTTTGGCTAGCAACTTTTATTGCACTCTTAGCAATAAAAATCTTAAGACGTGACAGGTCCAGTGGGTGAAAGGAATTCGGTGAATTACATTATGCAACGTGCAAATAAACAACTGATTGATCGAAACTGAAAGGAACCAAAAAACCATGGTATGCCAAATAAACGAAAGGGACCTCTAGTTTAAGGTCAAAAAATGATATGGATAATGACATTCTACAGTATCAGAAAAAACTCGGTACCTACGCGTTGGTACAACAACGAACTATTAATTTACAAGACTTTTCCATACAGTCTTCTTCAAATTTATACTTCAGGTTCTTCATATGATTAAGATCATTTCCCAAATTTCTTCAGATTCCTCGGGTTTAATTCTCAATTTTTCAATTTGGCTAGATTCTTCAGACCAATCATATCGTTTCTATTCTTCGGATTCCTCCGTTTCTTCGAATGTTTTCAATTCTTCTTTGTTTCTTTAAGTTCTACAAGCTCTTCAAATACTTCAGACGTATACAATATCTCTAATGCTTCACATTCTTCATATCGTTCCATCTCTTGGAAATATTTCAGTTTCCTCCTTTGAAATGTTTCGTACTTTTAGATCCAACATATTCAAACCTCAGATTTTTCTGTTTCCTCCAATTTTTGTAAATCTGCAGATGCTTCAATCGCTTCCCTAGTATCTTCGAACGTTTGAAATTTCTAAGATGGTTCGGATTCTTTTGTTCCTTCAGAATATTTAGGTTTTCCAAAAATCATTTTTTAATACGGTGTTCGTGACCCAAAACCTGCGCTACCCATATGAGTGCCATAATTGTAAGTAATTAAATTAGGTATTAGCATTTTACTTTATAATTAAATTAGATAATAATAATAATGACATTTATTGTAACCCATTTATATAAATAAGAAACAACTCAACCCTTCAGCAATCAGCAGGTGACAAGAACAGTTGTTTAGAAAAAAAATTAAAGACCCGGTAACAAGAGAGGTAACTATAACTAAGTGTGATACGCAAAAGCGCAGATATCTAGCTAAATTACATAAATTTATAAAAAAATTTAAAAAAACCAATGTTTAATTAATTTAAATGCATACTTAAGTTTCCGATTGTTTTTCGTGTCTGTTTTCTATCAATATATCGAGGGTTAACCATTATTGTAGTTGTCTGTTTCAGCTGTGGAAGATCCCTTGAGCAAACTAACGTAAGGTAAAAAAAATCGATTGAGCTAGTTATCGGAGCATTTTATTTCAATGTTATATATTTTTTGACAATTTCCTAATTGCAATTTCATTTTTCAATTCAACCACAGTAAATTGTTAATCAACAGGGTGTAGCAGAGTGTTAATATCGAACCCCTAGATACACGATCATTTTTCCCAGCGTTTTGATGAACTTTTCCGAGTGACGCAGCGCCAACCTTTCGTGAATTCAACTGTATTGTCCATTATATGCACATAACATGGATAAAAAATACACTTTTTAGCTTGATGGGTAAAATAGCTTAAGAGTCATAGGAATGAAGACTATGCAGCAGTGTATTGGATCTACACTTCAAAACACAAGTTCTGTCAAAATTACGCACTTTTTCTCACATACCATTATTCAGAATATCTTTTAAACTAACCATGCCATGCGAATCGGAATTGCAGTATTGCACAGTATTCACCAAAATTGCAACTGCGGCAATTGCAATTAAATGAGCTTGTGTCATAAGTTTGTTTTGGTAGATGGTCATACTAAATAGCTTAATTAATGAAGTTAAATGTTGTAATAGAACATTTTTCTTAAACAATGACAAATATTGAGCGATGTTCTAATTCTCAATGATAATAAATTCACTATAATTAATAAAAATAGTAATTCACACGACACGGCCAATATAGGAATATAATGAGGTACGCGTGACGAAGTGGCGCAAACTATATAATTTGTTCATCAATTGAAGCAAAAGTTGACTTTTATAATATTTGTTAACACATCCAAGAACTTCAGGTTTTCATAAATAGGATTTTGTGTAATCTTTCTAATTAATAAATGGTAATTGGGGCCATGAAAAAGATTCTTTTTTTAAGGTGCTTCGATTTTGTGTTTTCTTTTGTAGAATTTAGATCGTCCCTAAGGAAATTCAAACTGCTGTTAAAGTCAAAGTAATAGCAAAATGTACTTTGATTTACTCAAGATCCACTAGCAACCTCACTGAATCTACAACACAACTTAAAGTTGCTAGAGAAATGGATTAAAACAAAAATAAATGAAACAAAATCAGTCCACTTTACATTCACTAATAGACATTCTGTATGTCCCAGACGTCACTACAAATGGTAAAATGATACCAATAGCAGAAGAAGTATAATACAGGGTGACACTTTTAAAACTTTCAATGGGCGATATCGTATTTTATATTAGAGGTATCACAAAATGGCCAAAACCGTTTCGGTAGAATCGAGGGGGAAGCAAAATGGTCGTATAAAGAAGGAACCAACTTCAACCTCGTACCCCCCGCCACCCCCATGCCTAAATTTTGAATTGTGACGTATCACTTGTGATACATCATTGGAAAGCTCTTAAAAAATGCTTTTCAGAAATACCAACACTGGTACATTTAAACTGCCCATTCACAACTTATTACACTAAAATTTGAACTCAAATAAACAACTTTTATTTAATAAAATGTTCAAAATGTTCACCGTTTTGTTCTAAACAATACCACAAACGGTTTTCAAATTCATTTCTAACATTTTTAAACACTTCCCTGGAAAGTGAACGGCACTCCCTGACTATCCGGTAGCGAAGATCATTTATGGAAGCTGGTTCAGTTTTGTACACAACCGATTTTAAATGACCCCAAAGAAAGAAATCCAATATGGTGTCAGATCTGGAGATCGTGCTGGCCATTCTATAGGACCTCTTCGTCCTATCCACTGTCCCGGAAATTTCTCATCTAAAAATTCACGAACAGCCATAGACTAATGAGGAGGAGCCCCATCTTGTTGAAAATGTATGAAATCTTCAATCAAATTCATGTTTCCGTCAATTGGATTTATTTGATTCTCTATTTCATGAGTGATGAGAGGCTCGACGGTAGGTATTTTGTAGCATGTTTAGGTAAGTATCTCCAGTTAAATTTCCTTCGATAAACAGAGGACCAATAATGCTATCACCTAAGATACCTGCCCAGACGTTAATTTTTTGGGGCCGTTGAGTATGCCCCTCGCGAAAAAGATGAGGATTTTTATCGTCCCAATACCGGCAGTTATGTTCGTTCACATTTCCATTTAAAAAGAATGTACATTCATCACTAAAACAAGTGTTTTTCACCAGTTCCGGATTATTTTGAATATTCTCGGTCATTATTTCACAAAATTGGATTCTTCGATCGGAGTCGTCTTCGGTTAGTTCCTGTACAATCTGCATCTTATAAGGGTTGAATTTGTGCACCTTAAGAGTTCGTCGTACAGTTTCTCGCGAAAGTCCGGTCATAGTCGCTGCTTTTCGAATAGATGATGTTGGGTTTGCACCAAAATGACCTAAAACTTCAATCTGAGTAGCTTCATCCATTATTCTTGGTCCTTTTCTTTTCTTATTTTCCACTGACCCAGTTTCTTCAAATTTAGTCACTAACATTGCAACATAAGTGTGACTGACACGTCGTTCTGGGTGTCGGGCATTAAAAACAGCTGCTGCTCTAAATGCAGATCGCGCTTCAGAACCATAGATGAACATAATTTCAACTCCTTCGGCTAACGTGTACACCATTATGAAATCTTTAGTTAAATTCAAAATTTGTAATTTTCTTGCCAAGAAATACTAAAAACGAAACTAAAATAATAATAACCGATCAACAAATAAAGCAATAGAAAATTATTATTTACTAAAAATTGCTGTCATTGTTTTTCCAAAGCATCACTAGATCTAAGAAATTTCTTTTTATTTCAAACACTGACAAATTCATCAAATACTCAAATTACTCATTTTTATTACATAAATTGTGAATGGACAGTTTAAATGCACCAGTGTTGGTATTTCTGAAAAGCTTTTTTTAAGAGCTTTCCAATGATGTATCACAAGTGATACGTCACAATTCAAAATTTAGGCTTGGGGGTGGCGGGGGGTACGAGGTTGAAGTTGGTTCCTTCTTTATACGACCATTTTGCTTCCCCCTCGATTCTACCGAAACGGTTTTGGCCATTTTGTGATACCTCTAATATAAAAAACGATATCGCCCATTGAAAGTTTTAAAAGTGTCACCCTGTATAATAATATTATACAGGGTTACCCGACATTCGCCGCAGCATACGAAAACGCCGTTAGCTGCATGCAAATATGAATTACAATACGGCGTACACTTATATAGTAATGCAGGTTTCGACGCAGCATGG